CTATAATAGAAGACTCTTGTTATAGAAGTAGCCATACATGTCACATTTGATGAAACTAATAATGATATTTCCAAGAGTTGTTATGAAGATGATTATGTAGGTGTTCAAAAAAAATTTAAGAAACCCATGATTCAAGATGAAGAAAAAACTCCATTAGAAGAGAAATCAAAGGAAGATGATATTCAAGAAAATCAAGCGTTAGAAGAAAATAACAAGGGTGTTAGTATACCTAATGATCTTCCAAAAGTTTAAAAATTTGTTCAAAATCATCCCAAAGAACTCATTATTGACGACCCATCCGAAAAAGTAAGAACTCGCTCCTCATCTAAACAATTAATGGATAATTTTGCTTTAGTTTCTCATTTTGAGCCTAAGAATGTTAATGATGTTTTGAAAGATGAAAATTGGATTTTGGCCATGCAAGCGGAACTAAATCAATTTGAAAGAAACAAAATTTGGACACTAGTTAAAAGGTTTCAAAGTCATCCTATTATTGGTATAAAATGGGTCTTTAAAAATAAATTGAATGATAAATGTGAAGTTGTGAGAAATAAAGCTACACTAATGGTTAAGGGGTATGAGCAAGAAGAGAGAATAGATTTTGATGAAACATTTGCTCCCGTAGCTAGATTAGAATCAATTATAATGTTTCTCGCATTTGCATGTTTCAAGAATTTTAAATTATTCCAAATGGATGTTAAAAGTGCTTTCTTAAATGAATTTATTGATCAAGAGATTTATGTTGACCAACGTCCCGGTTTTGAAAATGAGACATATCCAAATCATGTATTTAAATTTTCAAAAGTTTTGTTTGGGTTAAAGCAAGTTCCAAGAATTTGGTATGAACGTTTAAATGATTTTTTGGTTGTGAATGATTTTAAAAGGGGTATTATGGATACCACTCTTTTCACTAAACAAAACTCCAAGGATCTTCTAATTGTGCAAATATATGTCAATGATATTATTTTTTGTGCTACTAATGTGTGTTTATTCAAGGATTTTTTCACTAATATGCAAAATGAATTTGAGATGAGTATGATGGGAGAGTTAAATTTCTTCCTTGGACTCTAAGTGCTTAAAACTCAAGAGGGTACATTCATTAATCAAACAAAGTATATAAAGGAACTTCTTAAAAGATTCGGAATGGAGGATTCGAAGCAAGTTGGAACGCCTATGTGTATATCCATCAAATTTGACAAAGATGAAGAAGGTACGAAAATTGATGAGAAAAATATAGAAGTATGATTGGTAGCTTACTTTATTTAACAGTAAGTAGATCCGATATTATGTTTACCGTTTCCTTGTGTGCTCGTTTTCAATCTTGCCCTAAAGAATTTCATTTAAATACTGTTAAAAGAATTTTTAGATATTTAAAGATAATCTTGAATTATGGTCTTTGGTATTCTAAATGTCATGAATTTGTTTTATGTGATTTTTCGGATGCTAATTTTAGTGGGTGTAGGATAGATAGAAAAAATACTAGTGGTACATGTTATTTTTTTTGTAATTGTTTGGTATCATGGTTTAACAAGAAATAAAATGCTATCTCTTTATCTACAGCAGAAGCGGAATATGTAGTCACCGGTGATATTGTGCCCAATTGTTATAGATGAAACATATCTTGAATGACTTTGGACTAGTGTATGACTGCGTGTGCACGTATTGTGATAACATAAGTGCCATAAATTTGACAAAGAATACCATTCAACATTCTAGGACAAACCACATAGATATAAAGTATCATTTCATTCGTGATCTTGTCCAAAAAGGTGGAATTTGTGTAAAATATGTTTGTTCGAAAGATCAAATTACTGATATTTTTACAAAAGCTCTATCTTTGGATCAGTTTGTATTTTTAAAGATAAAATTGGACGTTTTGGAAAAGATTATCTTAAAATTTTTTGATTAAATTTTATTAGATGTCCGATAGTCGATGAACGGGTGTCTGACAGTGTTCTACGTTATTTTTCAAAAAAATTTTGCATCGGACAATAGTGTCGGACGATTCCTTTCGTTCGGCCGTCTGACACTTAATAAGGGCATATTATAAAGGGTTTTTTCCTTCATTTGGTTCAGATATCCTTTCTCTCTCTCGGACGCACCCCTTCTTTTCCCTCAAATTTCAAAAGTTCAAATTCGTTTCTTCTCAAGAAAAATTTCTAAAAATTGATTCTACAAACAATCTCACAGTCTTTTTGCAAACAGATTAGCATCTAAACCTTTTTCTAACTGTCAAACATTCATCCGATCCCAAATTTCATCATAAAACGTAGTTTCAAAAAACTCACCCACTTTGGCAGATTCGAACATTCATCTTCATCTAGATAGCACAATTAGTCCATTTCATCCACATTCTCATCACATTCTGCAAGAAAATCACTCGGCATTTCACTATAGTGCGATTGAGAGGCAGGGCTTTCAGTGTCGAACGCACAACCTCACTTAGAGATGAAGAAGTTGAGGTGCCATCAATAAGGAAATCTGCTCATCTGTCTGAAAAACACATTTCCAAATAGAAACGGACTGATCAAATCGAGCCACAATCTACTACATTGCCCAGATTCATCGATGATGTTGCCATAGATAAATTTGAGTGGATTTCACAAAAAGGTTTCATCACTCAAAAAACCATCATTCCTTCTGAATTCCGTAAGTTTGATTTAGACCCTGTTCTTAAGTTTTTTTATTATCAAAAATGGTCTCATATTCTGTCCCTACCCAACACCTACTTCCCTGAGATGTTCCATCAGTTTTTTACTAATTTTAGGAAAGGTAACTCTCATACTGAATTTATTTCTCGTGTTAATGGAGTGGACATTCTTCTTACTCCTGATATTGTCAATCCTGTTTTGAGAACAAAAATTGAAGAAGACTGTCGTAGTAAAATTACGAATTTTTTCTCAGATGAAGAATTTTCAACTGCTTATCATCATTTTCACACTGAAAAACTGATGACTTACTTTCATACTTGCTTTAACATACCTGTTGAGGTCAAATTGGAGGATCTTAGTTCTCAAAATCTGATCATTTTTACAATCATTTTCAATTTGTTGGCTCCTATTGATGGTCATAGGACTGATGCAAATAAAATGACACTTTACTTGTTTTATTGCTTTGTTGAGAAAATTCGAATTGACTTTGGTTTAGTCATGTATAAATTCTACTCAAAGTTACTACTGACAGCCGTAAGAAACTTTCTTATGGAAAGTTTTTAACTCCAATTTTTGCTCATTTTAAAATTTCTTTCACCAGAATATCTCCAAAAGAAACTTCCTCTTCTGTTTTCACCAAAGCATATTTTAAGAGAAAAAATATCAGATTTTTTGATAGCCACTAGTGTTATAAGGAAGTTATTTTGGAGTCTCGAACCAAAAGTCGTCATGAAACCTCTGCTACTCCCAGACCTTCCAAACAGTCTCGTCTTACTTCACCATTTTCCATTCATTCTCGCAAATCCTCTTCTCAACCCACTTCATCCACTAACGAAATCATTGGGTTACTTGAGGATCTCAAGAATCATGTTTTTCTTCTTGAAGATGGTCTAATGATGACCATGACACCTGAGCAACAGGCTGCATTCTTGGATAAAAGAAATTTGCTTATGCCTCCTGTCCCATAAGAGAAAGAACCTACACATGAAAAGCAACCACGAACTAAGTTCATTCCTCCCACTGCTAAAATAGATGCTTCGAGCTCTCAGCCTACTCCTCATCGTCCCCCAACTTCAAAAAAAAAAAACAAGGCTCCAGCCACATAAGGAAGTAAAGCAGATGATGAAGAGACCGAAGACGAATTGGATCCCTCTTCGTTTTGTCTTGCAAGGAGAATATCCGGACCATCTAAGATCACACTTTAGGCACTCTAGGGACATTTGCACTTTATATTAGGATGCATTTTCAGTTTTTTTTTTGTAATGTTTTTTATGTTTCGTACTGTGTTTCCCTTGACGTTTTTGAATATTATCATTAATGAATTTTGGTTGATATGAATTGACATCATTTGATATTATTTTTCTGCTAATATTAGTTGGTGATGGTTGTCATTGATTGATTTTGATGTTAGCTGATGATGTTACTTTTGATGGCAATTACTTTCTGATTTTATAATGATAAAAAGGTGGAGAAATTACTGAATGATTTTGAATTGGTGATTTTGAATTGATTATGGTTGCTATGTAGAAGAAGGATTTTTTGATAATATTATGTTGACTATGATGAAAATTACTTTGCTCATGATTTTTCTCATGTTGGTATTGAATGATTTTGAATTGGTTATGGATGCTATGTGTAAGGGGGAGTTTTTGCTCTTTTTTTTAAATATCATCCATTGTTTTGTCATCATCAAAAAGGGGGAGAATGATGATCTTAATCCCGATTTTTTGATATTTACAAAATAATTGGATAATTCAAACTAATATTTTTTCAATGCGAAAGATTTTCAACTCTGAAGAAATTTGATTTAAAAAGTAATTGAAAGAAGAAAAAAGAAAGTCGAAAACTGTCGGACGCTCACAATGACAATACCGGATATCCGATAGAAAGGGCAAGTACCGAACGATCATATCGGACGAAAAACATCATCACCAGACGTCCGAAAGAAATGAAATGATTTTTCAAATTTCCTTTCCGCTTTCGGACGCAAGCATCGGATTCCGATACTCCCAATGGCTAGTTGACTCTTCATCTACTTTCTATCCGTTGGAAGCTTTAATGAAGTACTTTTTTGGTCTCCCATAAATAGTGCATGGTCAGAAATTTTAAAAAAATACTTTTTGTACACTGAGAATACAAAAAGATCAAGAGTAGTTTTAGTGAGAAAATACTCTCCAAGTAACGTTTGTACTCTTTGTAATGTAAGATTTTTTGTAAACTTTTCATTTGTGAAAGAATATTTCAATAGTGTTGTGACGAACCCACCTTCTCCTAGGGCCTACCCTAGAAGTTAGCGAATCGCTTGCATGACTCTCGCCAGGACTCAATCACTTACATGAACTTCAGAGATAACATTATCATTGAACAACTGAACATTCACTCTTAAGTACCACTCCAATCAGCTTGAAACATAGATTTGTCCACTAAAAGAAACAAAATACTCGTTCTAAACATCCATTATTAATATTACATCAACTCAAAACAGAAGATTCAACCATCTTAAAATACAAAAGAAAACGTGACTCCAATATATACACATAGTGATGGAATTTCCCAAAACAACTTTCCAATTCCATCTATTCACTTTTCAATCTCCAACTCCTGTAAGGAAAACAAAGTTAAAAGGGTGAGCTTACGCCCGTGAGGTTTCCATGCAAGTAACAATCAATAAGCACTTAAATCAGTACAATTAAGCGAGTAGTATACATTTCACTGTACAATCACTTTCATTAAGCAATTGAGGAAGCACATCACCAAACAATCACTTTTAAAAGGATACGGTGCTCGCATTAGAGCCACTTCAATGCACTACACACTCCACCGAACTCCTCCTTATAACCTCCAAAATAATAAACACTTCCCTCACTTGGATGGCCATATCAATATCAGTAATCTACTACTCCGTGGTAATACTCGAGTATACCGAAACAGTTACCCAAAGCTACCGTCCTACCCGACCAAGCCCTTTGCTGGCTCGAATAGTCCGTTGAACAGAGGGTTTTGGGGCCCAGTTCAGCTAGTGTGATAAGGTACACACATGGCTTACAGTCATGCACACTTACAATATCACTTGATCAAATATCAACCTTTAACCTCAACTATGTCGAGTGCGATAAAGTACACCCTCGACTTAGAAGGCGAGGGACAATTGAAAACACTTCACAATGAATCACTTAGCAATATTTCATAATAAGCACATTTGCCATATAATTGCATTTATGTACACATAAGCAGTTTAACACATAAATTCGGAAAACACTCACCAAAGATTCAAATGACTACTCTCGAGTCTCGAATTGGTTTCCTGGTTCACGGCTACTTCCTGGTACAAGTTAATAATTCTAAAGTGAATATTCATTTTATATACAACCATTTAAGGTTTAAGTAACTAAAACCCAAGTTCCTAAGCTTATAAAACGAATCACCAAAATCTAGCAACCTTCCTTACGTTTGTCTTCAAGATTATTAAGTTTGGTAGCTTTAAAACAAGGTTAATGTACATATACACCAAATTTTAATATCATATAAACACTTGAGCTAAGATTAACTCATTTCCAATCTAATGTGCAAGGACTAAGACAAGCAAACGTTTCATTTCTTCCGTCTAGGCTAAAACAGATTCTAGTTTGACCTTAAAGTACAAATATAATATTTTCAATATTCATTTATCATTTTATTTTGAAACTCATTGACTTTATTGTTTTAATCAAGAATTATACCTGTTTTTGCAAGTTAATAATTTATAAGATATTTATTTTAGGAGTAAATCATTTTCCACTCAAGATTATAAGCGGTTTAGGAGTACTTCATTGGTCCCCTTTTTAATTAATTAAACTCTAGGTTATTTGTAAGTTAAATTTTATTCCACTACACCAGCCCCTCAAATTTTATAGTCTTTAAAATATTTGTGAAGACAATATTAACTAATTAGAAGCCAATTTAGGTACATAATTATCATGAGTTTTCCCCTCATTTGCTTTAGTTTAACTCTACTTGTGGAGCTGTATATAGCCATTAAATCTCAGGGTAACCGTAGCTATCATTTATGAAAGCTTACAAAGTTGGAAATTAGAGGAAATGCTGGTTCAAATTTGGTTCCTCATGGCCATTATCAAAGCAAAGTGCATCCGGGAAGAAAAGGAAAGCAATAAGAAAGGCAGCTTTGCCACCCTCTGATATTTTGATCACAACTGGAGCTACGCTTATCGGATTGAGGCGAATTTTATAGCGTTTCGAAGCTAAGACATAGACCTACATTTATTCTGAAGATATCGACATCCAGTTATCGCATTTTCAAGGCCAAAAAGGGACGGTCAGAAGCACAATCTGTTTCATTTTCTCGGTCAGCAACCAAAACTAGTAACGTTACTTCAAGTTTTCGACGAAAACTCTATTCTTTCACTTGCTTAAAGCTCTAAATATTTAAAATACATTCACTCCAGCATATACCAAGGCAAATAGCATCTAGTTTCAACAAATTATTCAACCCAAAAGCTACGCACAACAATCTGTCTTCAACTAATTACAATTTACAGCAGTATAGCAGTTTAACATGTGGTGTTTTCTCATAATTTTCTTTTCAATTTCATGCTCCAACTAGACATGCAGGGGATGATCATTCAACTACAGACCATCTTAAGCAAAACATAGAAATTTATAGCCAAAAATCCAAGAGAAAAGCTGAACCAAGATTTATATCCTCTCTCGACTATAAAGCTGGTTCGTAGCAGCAAGTAATGCCTAAAGACGAGTTTCTTCTACTAGATCCCTCCATTTTATGCTCAAACCTCTCATGCATGAAGAAATCAAGATGTTATACAACATATTACAGATTAACACAGAATTTTAGAGTCATTATTCACCAAAGACAGCTTAAACTTTTCCATCCCCCCCTCACTCGGATGAAGCTGGAAAAAATCCAGCAAGGATCTTCCATCGGTCCTCTCAATTTCCAACTTTTCCCAAATTTCTTCAACTAAACTTCTAATAATACCTGAGATAACCATATTACATGCTTTTCTTATATTATATTTTCCATTTTTACACTGCTAATGAGCTGAAATTCATGTAATTAACTCCCGGTTGCTACAACTTCAGTCAAATAATCATTTTAACCTCAAACCAGAATTTTTCTTCAATCGAAGCTCATTTCCTCTGCTAAAACTTATCTTGCAGCTTGTTTATATATATATATATATTATATAATATATATATATATATATATTCATTTATACTCAATAAATGAGTATTGATCACAGAGAATTTACCTCTTTCCTTTAAGAGTTAAACTGACCAGATTTTCCCAGCTTTGTTTCCTCAAGGTCTGCACCAGCTATCCCTCCTATTTTCCTTGCCTTTCTCTTCTTGATTATGATCAGTAGATGATAAAGCTAACCAAATTTTCTCTCCCTCACTCTTAGTTCCACCCCCTCGATTCCATTTTTGGAAAGAAAGAAAGCAAGCTGCCTTGTGTTTCTTTCCTCTCAGTCACCGCCCAACTAGAAATTTCTTTCTCTTTGTTTCCTCTCGGTTGTCTTCCAGAAGATGGCTTCCTTAGGTTGCATAGTAGTTTAACCAAGATTCAGGGTTAGTTAGGTCATTGGTATTAACTTATTTGCTCACTAAGGGGCTGCGGTTTTATTATTTCATGCATTGACTTCAAACTTCATTTGTTATAATTTATATACCCTTACAAAATTCTCGTACATTAATCTAGGAGATTTTCATACATTCGGTTTTAAAGGAAAATCAACTAGACATATAATTTATTCAACTGTATAATATATGCTACGTGTCTAGTAATATATGCAAATGACACAATTTACAATATACATACCATGTGTTTATTTGATTCATAAAAATTTTTCTACACCAATCTAGGATATTTCTAATTCTCGATTTCATAGAAATTCAATTGGACATTTAATTTAACCACTTATTCGTTATTTCTAATAAAATAAATGCAAAGCACACACCTGATTTTCTCGAGTTCTCACAAGTGTAACTTTGTGAGGATTATCCTGAGGGATTATAAAACTTCTTAACTTGACCGAGTGAAACTTGGGACAAGGAGGAAGTGAGCCTTCCTTTATACACAAGATTGGTTGTATTACATCAATTTGAAGAAACATGTTTTGTGAATTGATCTTCGAGGTAAGAGGAGGTTGGTAGTCAATTAGTTTGCAATTCTTCTCTTTTTATTTATTTATCATCTTGTGATCCTTAAATTGCATATCTCTTCTACTTCTCTCAAGTGATATTCCACCTTTATTGATTAATTCATTGTGTGATCTCTTAGAAAAGAGGGTAAATTTCGTATTGAGCCAAAAGTGTCCATAACCTGATTAGTTATTTTTAATCAACCTAATTTACCCTTCTCTTAGGTTGTCTTGGGGCCTAACAAAGGCGCATAATTAGACATGTACTAAAAACAGAGTTTAAATTAATAAAGTAGATGGATGTAATAGAAGTTAGACATGGAGTCCATCTTCGTTGAAGCTCATACATTAATAATAATTCACGAGTATGCAGCAAAGCTACTCAGCATTCGTCTGTTAACTAAAATCAGGATACTAAATCCAACAATAGCTCATGTTTATATAGAAAGAAAAGCCTGAAATATTGCTCTGGACATTATTACGTGGCACAATCAAACTAACATGAGAGTATAAGTCAACTTATCTGGAAAACTGAATTCCAATTTAGCAAATTACAATTGGAACAGATTTGGACTTTTTACCAACCACAACTAGCATCTAGGACTCTGAAAAAGTATGAATGAATAGCCAAGAACCATTAGACTTAAAAAAGAACTATGACATGGAAACAGACATATAGCAATCGAAAAAGACATGATGCAAGAGATATGTTGATGCAAAACAGAGGCACTTCAAATCTATGACCATAACAAGCGAGCAATCTAAAACATTCTTGACAGTCATTGATCAATAATCAATCAACATGGTTAATAGATGACAATCGAGTAAAAAGACAATACCCCTGCAAAGTTATAAGTCTTCCCAGATGATTAAATAAAAAAAATTTAAAAGATAGAGTCACTCTCCAACGATGACCACAAAAGAAAAGCAACCTGAAATTCTTTACTTGGTCTATTGCACCAATGTAAAAGGCACAAGCATCACAAATTCAAAATCTACTAAAGTTTTTAAATAGCATAGCTTCATATCTAGTCACTCTCAAAGTATGACCACCAACAGCAAGCAACTTAAAGTATTCATTTTATTAATAAATCATGCAAAAGTGTCAGAATCTAAAAGTAGCTACTGCTGCAACAGTGACTACTAAAAGTGTTAGAATCTAAAACTAACTCCTCCAATGTAATAGTACGTGACCAAAATTGACAAACCACAGAAAAGAAAAAAAATAAAAATAAAACAAAATATTTTGCACATAACTTCCCCTTCTATATGATCTGGTTTCGAAATTTATCAAACAAATCAAGTGATCAAAGGCACATTAAAAATCTCAGATTTGAAGCTATTGAAAACCATACAAACTCTAAAACCCTAATCTACCAAGTAAAGTTACATATCCTAGAAAACCTAACCAAGCTTTAACCCTAAAAACCTAATCCTCCAAGTAAAGTTACAGATCCTGGAAAATCCTAATCAAGATTTAACCCTGAAAGACTTTCTGTGCTATAGCAGTTTTAAATCCAGATTTTTATAAATTCAAATTTACTCTAAAAAATGTTCTATGTCAATAAACTAAATTCCTATCTCCCAAAATTCTGAAGTCCATAAATCTGTCACAAAACAAATAAAAAAAAGTTACTCGTACATAAAAAAAAGCAAAAAAGATCATTTAGTCATAAAAGATTAGCAATATCGAGAAAATAAATTGATAAAATTCAAACACCATTTAGAAAAGAAAAATAAAAAAATTAAAGGTATTAGTAGACATTATTCACCTGAATGTTCCACTAACATTTTAACTAGTCAAAGTCCATGAATTTGCTGCACTTTTCAGAGGCTGAACCACTATCTGAATAAAGTAAAAACCCCAAAAATCTATATCACACATTCTGGATGGAATTTTTATTTAAGTGAAAAAAGGAAAGTTCAAGAACCGACCTTGTATCAAACATTTCCGATGAAATATTTATTACAAAAAATAAATTGAATTTCAAAAAGAAAAACAAAAAATTAGTGAAATGAATAGCTTTAGTTTGCCAGAATCTTCAATTGGCGTATGAACAAATAAAAAAGCCCTGAATTTGCATCTTTCTTTCTCCGCCATTTTCACACATAGAAACACACATCCAATCCCGATCTCTTCTGGAAAACAAGAATTTGTTCAAAGAAAACTCTGAAAATTTTAGGAAAAAAATATAAAATTAGGACCAATTTGAACGTTATAATTTGGGAAAAAATATAAAAAAAAGTACAAAAATTTTGAAATGACACAGAGATAGTGAATATCAGCTTTGATAAGAGAAGTGAAGGAGGAAAGGCAAGGGAAGAGTAGGAGGGTTTATATAAGGAGATGGTATTTTGAGAATGGGAAATCGCCAATTTGGTTTCTAAACTTTTTCACTTAAACCAATTTCATTCTTTACGATTTTGTTTCACCAATTTAGTTCTCAAACAATTTTATCGGGTTCAATGTAAGACTTATTGGGAGGCGCCAACACATTTTATGTATTTTCCACGGCGGATCAAGGGTATAATTGGAATGACAGGTTTAATTGTCTAATTATAGGGATTATAATAGCAACTTTGACATCATGAAGGAAAAGAAACCTCTGAAAATTGGGAGAGAAGAGCTCATAGGAATTAGGGCAAGTCACTGAACTTGGATATTTGCAAGTGAAATGCAATCAACCAGAAACTTGGACAACTCCGCCTCAAGTTTATATAGCAGCCAACACTCAAATCTAGGTAGCCGAGCAAGTGGGCAATTGACAGGGGTGAAGGGAGAAAGGGTAGAATTCTACAATGGGGATGAGGCAGTAATTTGTCATTGCCGTGAAGAATGTAGAATTGTTACTTCGTGGACATTGGCGAACCCAGGCAAAAGATTTCATGGATGCATAAATTACGGGGTAATTTTTACAATTAATCACAACATATTGCTTGTATATTTGATGTATTATATAATTTACTACAACTAATGGCTGGAATTAATGGTCATTGTAGACACCAAAAGCCTGCAATTATTTTCTGTGGTATGATCCACCTATGCAACTGATAACAAAAAATATGATGGCGAGAAATTTGAAGAATTTGAGGAAAGCTAAGGAAGAAAATAATTTCATGAAAATTGAAATGTGTAAGCTTGAAGAAGAGAACAAGGTGCTCAAAAGTGAAATTAGGAAGTTGAAAGCAGCAAGGAAGTGGCTAATGCTGGTCGTGGGTTGCATATGTATTATGGTTATTGCTGTACTATTACCCAGTGGCAATGAAAGGAATGTCAACTTAAAAATGCTACATTAGATCCTATTGTATGAAGTTAAAAGTTGAGTAATTGCTTCATGTAATTTGAATGCTGTAATGTTGGAATGTAGACATTGGTGTATGGAACATGTTTATGTACTAAAATGGAACATTGTCTCGATTGGTGTTTTTGTAAAATGATTGAGAGATTTTGTCAAAGTTGTTGGGCACATTATCTCCAACAATATCTTTATAAAATGATTGAGAGATTTTGTCAGTTGTTGGGGACATTACCTTGAAAGACGTCTTTGTTAAAATTTTACCAGAGATTCACCTCAAGTTGTATAACAAAGTTGATAGAGTTTCGTCTTAAATTTTGACAATCCCTACTGGCACAATTACCAAATGTATCATATAAAATGCTAAACAACAAGAAGAAAGTCAAAGTAAATGGTACAAGAAGAGTGCCAATAGAAGTTCATAGTCATCAACATAGGTGCGACATTGCCAATATAGCAGGCTGAATTTTACAAAAGCATTAATTCTCTTTAGACAAAATGCAGCCACATCAGATCATTAGAAGTTGACACATGTATATTAACCAAAATACATCAAATTCCTATCGTTAATCCAATTAGTACTTTATGACAAAACAAAAGCTCTTAATGTACAAAACAGAGCATGTCCCGCAAAATAGAAGCTTTTTATTCCCAAGCTGCATTAAGTTGACCGGCAACAATATCATCTTCTTCATCCAACAGCCTATGTGCCTGCACAAAAAAATCACATGTCAAAAGCCATAAACAGTCTCCTTTTAAGTCATGTCAAAATCATTGTCCAGCAAATGTGCAAGACATGCTGTTAACTTTATAAATTACTTCAACTTACTGTCTCCTTTTTCCTAGTCATTTTTCCATTTGATAGAGGGAATGGATCAAAAACAGTCATAGCAGCCTTCCTTTTTCTCCATGCTCGAGCTTGCCAGGTTCCACATGTTTGCCGATTATGTCCTAAGCCATGACAGAAGGAACACTTGGTGAATTTCTTTCGCACTTCAGGTAGTTCTTCTTGAGCTTATGGCTGTAA